GAATTGACACTATGTATTTCATCCAATCGACGATCCACATCTGGATCCCCCACTATCCCATGCACATTTGCAAAATAATTTACAAGTTCTTCATCGTGAAGAGAATTAAGTATTTCTTGTACAGAACTTCTTGTGCTTTTCATTTTACACCTTTAATACTCATTATAATTACAAGTAATTCATTTTTCCTTTAATAATGGTGGTGTTTGAGAAGATAAGGTTTTTCTGATTAAAGTCATTTTCTTTTCTAAAACGGATTCAAGAACGGGTTTCAATTTTTCTATTCGTCTTTGAAAATGAGCATGATCAATAGCCATCTGCATCCATGGACCTCTTCGGTCTTCATCGGCTGTCAGCAGATATTCTACTTTTTCATCACTGAACTGAACTTTTTTGTTCTGAAATGTATCAAACATTTTTGCTTAGTTTGAAAACACATAATTTTTAATATTTAACCTAAATTCTATTTGTGTATAGTTAATGGATTATGACATGGACATGCACCAAATTTACAAAGCAATGAAAGACATAACAAAATATTTGTTTCAACTTTATTTAATGTAGTCTCTCTTCATTTCAAAAATTATTTTTAAAAATAGATACATTGATATAAAATTGGTTAACATATTCTTTTTTTGGCAAGTAAAAAGTAAAATATACATCAATCTTGTAAACATTACCTTCTTGGCAAGGAAAAACGGTAAAAAAAATATTCAAAAATAGTAAATATGTACAAAAAAAAACAACTTGTAAACATGGAATCACATTAAATCACCACATGCAAGAGTTCAAATGTAAAATATTTTTGTATAATTTTTTAAATAATCACATATAAATCAGCAAAAATTTAACCATCGGTTTAGAATTGGCTTATACAAGTTATTCTTCTTGAAGACACCAATGAAAAAGAATCTCAATACCTGTTATAAAGAATCACATTCAATGATAAAATCACCACAGGAAACAACTCATTTGTAAAATTTCCTATTTTTGTATATAACACTATCATGTAAAAATCACTCAAAACAATTAACCCTTGATTTGGAATTGACTGACAAAAAAGTTTTTCCACATTTCACTATTATGGAAGACAACTGTAAAAACAAATCTTAAAGCCTCATCAATTATATAATTTCCATCTTCTTCAGTTCTTTGGAATGTAGTTTACAAAATATCCCAATAAAAAATCATATTACTTAAACACCTCTCTCTCATGTCATGTATTAAACATGGAGACTAACATCCATTCTTTAAAAAAAACAACAAATTTCTCTAAAACTGTTTTTGATTAGAAAAAAAATCAATAAAAAATGGAATGTATCATTCATAGATCTGTCAAAAAAAAAAACAGTAAAAAAAAAAAAAAAAAAATTAATGCCAAGGAATGCTTTTCTTTGCTTTTCTGTTCGGCTGCTTCCTAGCTTTCCTAACTTCTTTTTCATCAGCACACAAAGGCCGGGAGGGTGTCACTTGAATACTGACATCTTCTACTTCAATGGAAGATGCTGAAGGAGATGCTGGTGCAGTTGTAGTTGAGACACTTGTAGAAGTTGGAGAGGTAGTACTAGTAGTAGTGTCTGTAGCAGTGACAGGCCGGCATGGTGCGCAACACTTCTTACAGATGATAATTATTATGAGGATGATGATCATTAAAGGTGATATGCATTCTAGGGTCAGCATAACTTCTACAAAAAATATAATAAATAAGTTTACTCATAACTGAACATTTTCTTTTTGGTGGGAATGTCAAGTATATATAGACAAATACAAAGAACTATGTTAATAATATAGACAAAAACTATGTAATTTCATTTACCAGGTGTAATTAATTTAAGTTCTGTTGTTGGTGTTTGTTTGGACACTCTCCATTCAGATTTTGTTGCCAGTCTTGGTGTTCCTGGAGTCGTTACGTGGGTTGCCAGTCTAGTTGTTATGCGTGGTGCTCCTGGAGTCCTAACATGGGTTGCCGGTCTAGTTGTTATGCGTGGTGCTCCTGGAGTCGTTGCGTGGGTTGCCGGTCTAGTTGTTATGCGTGGTGCTCCTGGAGTCGTTACATGGGTTGCCGGTCTAGTTGTTATGCGTGATGCTCCTGGAGTCCTAACATGGGTTGCCGGTCTAGTTGTTATGCTTGGTGTTCCTGCTCCTCTAGTTGTTATGCTTGGTGCTCCTGGATTTACATGGGTTGCCGGTTGTTATTCGTGGTGCTCCTGGTCTAGTTTATTCGTGGTGCTCCTTAGTTGTTATGCGTGGTGCTCCTGCAGTCGTTGCATGGGTTGCCGGTCTAGTTGTTATGCGTGGTGCTCCTGGAGTCATTTCGTGGGTTGCCGGTCTAGTTGTTATGCGTGGTGCTCCTGGAGTCATTACGTGGGTTGCCAGTCTAGTTGTTATGTGTGGTGCTCCTGGAGTCGTTGCATGGGTTGCAGATCTAGTTGTTATGCGTGGTGCTCCTGGAGTCATTGCGTGGGTTGCAAGTCTAGTTGTAATGCGTGATGCTCCTGGAGTCGTTGCGTGGGTTTCTGGTCTAGTTATTATGTGTGGTGCTCCTGGAGTTGTTACGTGGGTTGCCGGAGTCGTTACGTGGGTTGCCGGTCTAGTTGTTATGCTTGGTGCTCCTGGAGTCGTTTGTTTTTCTGTTGAAATAAATAGATACAAGAAATGTTATTTAAATTATTATTTAAAACTTTATTTAAAAATATTAAAACATTAATCCTTAGTTATGCTACAATTTTTATCTCTCTCCTTAAATTTAATATGTTGACAAACTTATTGTAGCAAAAGTAACCAAAATCTCAATCTTCAGTCTGTCCCACTTAATTGATATAATTCATTAACTTCTCTCTACATCTTAACATTGACCTAGCCTGACATGAATAAAAAAGTGCCAATTTGAACTGTGTCAAATCAGATTAGTCATGAAATTAAAAACTTACTGCAGATTTCTCCATTAACTGATTTGATCTCTGCGTTGTGTCGTAATTTCGGTGGATAAAAGTAAATGGATTGGGAATTGTCTCAACACAATAAATAAATTTTACCAATAATCTTAATTGACCATTATGGCCTAAAGATTTTTAATTTTTTATCTCTGGATTTAATATGTTGAAACCTTATGGTACCAAAAGAAACCTAAATCATCAGCATGTTCCACTAAATTGATCGCATTCATTAACTTCTCTACATCTTAACCTTGACCTAACCTGACATGAATTAAAAAAAAAAAGCGCCAAATTGAACTGCGCCAAATATTCCTTTATCCAGACTCCCCGTCTAGTTTAATAAATAATCATCCAATTAGAAATTAAAAACTTACTGCATGCTTTTCCATCCACTGCCTTGATCTCGGCATGGAACCTGGAGACGGGGGGATAGAAGTAAGTGGGGACGCACCGAGCGATTATCACAATCTTTGGCGATCCAAAAACTTCGTAACATACTGCAGGTTTTACGCAATTTGCAAATGATGATAAGCTTACACACTTGAAACATCTTGGTCTAATCCCCTCAACTCGAACTTGGATGATTGCAACTAAACATAGTAGTGTAACTCCCAATCTCCACGCCATGGCCGCGCGCCGCTTCTCGAAACTGACCTCGTTTTCAGTATCAATGCGATATATTCGACAATATTCGGTTATATCCGTAACTAAACGAAGAGCATTACACTGGCGGTATCGAATATTGGTTATTTTCAATTTGAAAATTATCTATAATAAATATATCTAAATAATCGAAAACATATTTCAAAAATTTAAATATAGTGTTTTTTTTTTAATTTGAATTAATATTATATATCTTTTCAGAGAGAGAGAGAGAGAGAGAGAGAGAGAGAGAGAGAGAGAGAGAGAGAGAGAGAGAGAGAGATTCTGCAGTTTGACATGAATGTTGTTTTAACATGCAGTTATGAGTAATTTTACGTTGACTGCATCTTTTAATATACAATACATATCCTGTGGGTGGGTCCTGTATATAATGTAAAAATTGTACACAATAATTTACTGTTTACACTAAAAAAGATTTAGGTTTAAACCTATAAAATTGTGCATATATTATATCTTTTCCTTTTTATTGAATTACAATTGTTGAAAATAGCAATATCAAGTTATTAAAAGTATACCAAACAACAATTACTGCATACTTCGATCTATATTTCAAACATTAGAGCGAAAACTTTATTAAAGCGAAAAAATAAGCAGCGATATAATATCTATTTCAAGGTCAATGACATGTTCCGTATAGGGAATCGAGCGCCAATATTTGAGCGCGAAAAAGAGAGAAATTGTCAATCCTCATTAATGGGTCAAATTGAGGCTGATTAAAGGGAGCAATAGCTTTTTTTCGCGCTCATATGTTTGGTAACATCTCTAATAACCTACAGATGTAGACCTATATAAGACATGAAGGTCTAATTAAGGATTTCAAATTCACATGTTATGTTATAAAGTTATAGGTCATTTATAATATTTAATACAGGTCACAATTTAGGTATATATATATATATATGAGAGGAAAATAATCGTTTTCATTCTAGTTTCTAAACACGTTCGTTTTGACGACAGACCTTGATACCCCTAGTTCTACAAAAATTGTTAGATTCCGAAATGGCTGAGGCTCAGTTATCTTACATGTAAGTAAATATTTTTTTTCTTTTTCTGCAGCTTAAGTTATATTTTTCAAAAGTTTGCTTTTAAGTTTATGTTGATAGTTTAATTTTAAAAAAAATTAAAAAGTGTGTTTTATACTTTTAACATAATTTTAAAAAATCATTCGATATAATAATTTATGTTTTATACGAGTTTATTGAATATTTTAAAGTGCGATTTATTTATATTGTCGAATTATAAACATTAACAAAATCATTACTTTCAAAGCTCTCTATCTTTTTTTATGTCCTGTGTAAGGTTTATACTACATATGATAACAAATGAGAAACCTAATGAGAAAAAGAGTAAATTTTATAAGGTATTGCGTTACTCAATATTTCAATCAGAGTTGTCTTTCATTCATCAACTCAGAATAAACGTACTTGAGGTGTATTGTAATTTATGAAAAACGCACCCATCATTTTGAGATACACTATACTTTTTTTTAAAAAAAAAAAAGGAACAAGAACACGAAAGAAAATATTACGTTTTTTAGTATAGCTCAAAATAAGACAAGTAATTGAATGTATTTCCGTGTGAAAATTCTTATACATCTATGTTTAAAATTATTTTTTTTAATGTTTTTTATCATTGGGAAAAACTCAAAGAAAAATGAAGAGAGGAATAAAAATCCTGTATTGAGGGAATTGCTTCAACAGCCCCTTAAACAAGCACAGGAACCCCCAAAACGGTCACCCCCAAAACAACAAGAACAACAAAAACAAAACATGTCTCCGAAGAACTTCTCGGACTTCCAAACCCTATGGAGCAATCTCCAATTGGAGTTGGATTTGAAAAACTTTGATTCTGGGTGAGTAAATCTTAGGATATTGGTCAAGTAACGAACTAAATAACGACAAACAGAATAGAAATTCTTTATTATATTGGGTAATATGTTATCAATATTTTCTCAATTTAATTAATCCTATAAATCACTGAAAAGAAGCTTCCCTGACGTATGTAAATATATACTTTAGCAACTCTCCACAAGAAGAAGAACAACATATTTCTCCAACCCTTGACTTCTCGGATATGGACGATCAAAGTGTACTTTTCCAAAAGTATCTGGTACCCGAGAAGCCCACACCAGCTCCGCGGGTATGTTAAGGCAGCACATGGACCAAAATTCGGCGAATTAAGACTTTTTTATAATTATGTAACACTAATAAATCGGAAGAGTCAAGCATAAAACTTTTTTTATAATTATGCATTGTACAGACTTCACTGGGACTTATACTACATGAAGCACTTCACCACGACGTCACCACGTGACGTCTATAATTAGAAAATATGCCTTAATGAAAAAGTGAAAAGTTCAACACTACCCCGGGGATAATTAATTTCAATTTGCAATAATAATTATGTAAAAACATCTCTGTACCATGAAAAGTGCTGCTAGAATCCTACTGTCCTATCACAGAAATAATTATTCAACACTTTCTGACGAAACCTTCCAAAAATTTTTACATTTTGTTCATAACATCGAAAAAAATGCATTAATTCCCATAAACCATACGATTCTAGCAGCACTTTCCAAAAACAATAGAATAAGATCTTTAGATAGAAACAAAAATAAAGTTTCAAACTGTGCGGCGTAGTGTTGAATTTTTGCATCTTATTTGTTACGAACGACAGAGGAAAGGCTGATCGGCAAGTAAACACCCTCCCTGCTTTAATTTTACGAAGAAATTGTTGAAGTATATTACCATACCTTATTCATAAGCTTTATTCCCACATGAATCACACATGATATTCATTCTAAATGCTTTTAAACTCCGATTTCTTGTGTTTGTTTACATGAATTCTCGTTACGTTTCACTTTGCTACTGTATGATCAACAGTTATGACGTCACGGGTTTGGTATTTCACCCCTGTGATAACTACAGAGACCCAGAAACGACAAAATTCTGTTTATATTATGCCTCTGCATATTTTGATTAATTTTTACGACCTCAAATCAATCTTACATATCGATTATAAGAAATTGTTATCTCTAAACTTCAAGTCATATAGCTTACTATGACGTCATAACATATAGGCAAGTAGAATATTTGGTTGTAACCTTAACCTACCTGCGGATCAACATTTGGAGACATCAGAAAAGACATCTCCACCAGTGAGGACCATCCTCAAAAAAGTAAAATCAGCACCATGCAGGTCAACAAAAAACCCAGAGTCCACAATTGTCCACCCAACGTTTATCCCTATAACACAACCAAAAGAATCGGAGAGTATCACCCCATCACACAACTCCGCCTTTACCACCATCTCCCCAAGAAATATCCTTCAAGAAAACGAAGCATTCACAGGCGTAGAGGATTCTATCCTAACCGAACTAAGGTGAGCAATCAATACAATATGCTTGTAAAATTCACATAAAATATCTTAGTAACTAATCTTTTAAATTTAAATTAGTATGTACAATTCAAAAGAAAAATTCACATAGCTAATTCTCGTGAAGCAATTTAAAAGTGTATACTGATAACCTAGAATGTAGTCAGATCTAGAAAACATTAGTGAATATAACTGTGAGACAGCATACACATTTTTCTTTCTGATGGATTGAGCTTTCAAACTCATTCTTTTCTTTTTTCCTACTATTTTGTAGAAGACGTCATAGACTGAAAAGGAGAATGGTGCAGAGAATACCTGCTGTGCACCCCTATCCTCTCCATCAAGATCTGAAGTCTCTGAGAGAACTGAAAGAGGCCATGAGTGTCAACCTCCAACAGATGGACACCCTTATCAACTATCTGGAGGACTTTTTCAGATTAAGGAGGGTGAATTTTGTTTCCGTGTGAAAACCGTTCGTTACTGGAACTATCTAGATTAAATGGATATTAACTTCAAGGTGTAGCTTAAGCCTTTGGTTGTGTATCTAGACATTGTGTTGAACCGACAATATCGTGAAATATGAAGAATTGTACGCGTCTTCCTATCCTGAATACCGTGATAAACGATAGACAATAAATTTACTTCTTATGTGTACAGTTGTCAAAAACAGACATTGAGTTTAACTTTTTTTATGTTGTTCTACATGTACATTTGACTAGAATTTAATTGTATATTTTAGTTTAGAGGATAAACAAAATTATGTTCTTGTATATCTATATAATATTAATCAATTTATATTCAATATTCAAAAAGGTTTACTAATAGTTGTATATACCCTATTAAACATTTGATATTAAACACGTAAAACTTAAAATGTTTCCGTTGTTTTTCAAACAAATAATTTAGTTATTGTCATTTAAATTTATGACTTTTGAAGAATGATTTAAAAAAAAAGAAAAGGTGACTAAGTGTAAGATGTAATTGACCTCAAATGTGACAGTTTGTTACATCAACAAAAAATACTGAAAATTCTCATTCGATAATTTTTCTTTGACTCCATAAGCATACCGAACTATTTAAGTAATTCTGTTAAACGAATTTAATTTTATTCAGTGTCATATGAATTTAAGACTCTATTCTTTCTTTTCATTATCAAAGCCTTTTATGTATAAGAGATTGGTTTTACAAAAAGGAATTTTTATTCGATTCATAAAGTGTTGTTTTGAAGACAAAATTTTAGATGTAGTTAACCAAAAATCTAACAGTTTGTCACATCGACAACAAATACTGGAAATTGGTACGATTTTTTTCTGACTCTATGCATACCGTGCCCTTGTATTACACTTGATACCAGTATCAATATCTTTAATGGCCAACTAGAAACTTCCGAAGTTACATTGTTCTGAAAGTTAGAAGTCTTGTTAAATTTCCATTGATGTCAGTTAACTCTTACTGTTGATCTTATCAACAAATTTAAAATATACTGGAAATCCTAGTTCGAACATAGCAAACCTTATTTTTCCTAACAATATAATTTCTTTTTTTCCCCACAAAAGATTGTTTTCATAGAAAAGTAAGACTACATGCAACAAGTTTACACGTTATAGCATAATTCGCAAAAAAAAAGACCATGATTACCTTTGAGTTTTTTTTTGGTCGGCATTCATTATGCTCGAAGTATTTATCCATATTTCCTATGACAATATCGAAAAAAAGAAAGTATTGAGGACATGAGAATTCAACGACCAGTTTTATATGTTAATGTAACCTTGACCTAAAAACCTACTTTTGTCATACTAGACCATTTTATACTTAGAAATTAACCTAGAAAGTAAAAATCGGGACATGACCTATGTCAAAAATCAGGACATAATCGAGGTCAAAATTAGAACATGAACTATGAAAAAGGTCAAGGACATGACCTTGATTTCGTAGTAAAGAAGGTCAAGACCCTGACCGTTTTGACCTTAATTTTTGGGGTCAAGGTTAAGGAAAAGGCCTTGAAATATCCTTCAGTAGATCAAGGTCATGACCTTGAATTGATTGAAGTAGGTCAAGGTCATGACCTTGACCTCATTTCTCCGAGTGTGAAGTGAGTGTCAAGTACACCCCCTGCTGCTTACTTGCAGCACAAGGGTAGACAACTATTTTAACTCTGGTTTGTCTAGAAGATTGTTATACTCCTTTTCAGACAATGTTGTTATCATAGAACCACTGTCTAATAAAGCATTAATAGTCACACCCTGTAACACAATTTCAACTTCATTTGACTCACCAATCATGTCACATTTAATTTGTTGGCCTTTACCTCTGAGTACACCGGTCTCTCCTCGGCCACTAGTAGAGACTACTAAAAGTTTTGGTCATGCTTCTCTGCCCCTGAACTATGAAACTGTCTCTTAGGCTTACCATGTCTTCTATACTGCCCTCTCTGGTTTCCTTGACTTCCCCTACAGGAGTAAATACTGTGAGAATCTCTCCTAAAATACTCACCTCTTCCTAAGTTCATACTCTGTCTTCCTCTAAAGCTACTTCTCCCTCTACTATAATCGTGTCTAGAATCAACTTTAGGTGCATCAAGTCTCTTAAAAATATGACTAAACTTATCCTCAATCTTACCCTTTAACTCTGTAAATTCTGAATTCTTTTGTTGATTATTCCGTCAGCCTCACTTTCTACTGCTATATTATGTTGATGTTATCTGGGGTTTTTATTTTCAGCCTGACTAACCTTTTCTGTATTCTTTCTGTTTATCATAATTTCTTTCTCAACCCTTCTAATTTCAAGTAAAAGCTGATCATAGTTCTTAAGCGTATCGTACTTATGACGCGTTTGTGAGTTTAGCCGATTGGAACTCAACGGAGTCCAGAATTAATGACGGAGTAGATCATTCTTTGATGTTTTGTTCAAATAACCATTGTCAATTGCATTCTGTAACATGCTTTCTAATCTACACCCAAAAGATGTTTGACTTTCTCCCTGAAATTGATATGCATTTAAGAACTCTTGCATGATCATAGCATTATTTGACACTTCACCAAAGAAAATACTAGTATTTAGTTTGTCAAGTATTCCTTTAACACTAGCTTTTTCACCTGAAGGAATAAGCATGGTTTTAGCTGTACCCCGTAGAGATTTTCTGACACTCTGAATAATTACGGTTTCTTTTATTTCAGGATCAGTCCACAGACATTGAATCTCGTATCGCCATTCTCTATATGTCACGTCACCTTTTTGTGGGTAGGGGGGGGGACATCTCCAGAAAACTGGGGAATTCTAGGGAATTGTGAATGTTTAACCTCATAAAAATGGGATGTGTTCCCCTTCTTGACCTACTTTAAAGGGATTGCTTTGAGGGGGTAAACCATTGAAATTAAACCTCATCATAGGGGTAACCTTTACCAATGGCAGCAAGTACACTGGGAGGGGTGTGGGAATTGGCATGGTTGAGAAGTTTTAGCATTGGAGAAAATTAATGGCTTTTGATCTTTACTTACTATAGGAGTACTGTTTTTGGAACCTACGCCTCTGAAACACCTGCAACGCCCAACTTACTTTCCTCATGCAATGAAACACCCTCATCTTTAACCTTATCAAATGACTCTTTGAGTTTTTCAGCCACCTTATCTGCCATTTTCTACTTTGTACACAAGTCAAACACAGCTTTCAATATCACTAAAATCTTCAACTTATGGTCACTCATATGTATGGCTTACAAGTAATAATCTTGATATGTATAAGTAACCTGATATTCACCTGTTATATCAATTCATAAACACGCAGCGCAAATATGTTTTATGCATATATCATTGGCAAGCACATACAAACACTCAGACAGAGTAACACGCATGTACATCATGTGTCAATAAAGGTCAAGGTTGCCATGTCAAGGCAAAGGTTAGATGCATGCAAGGGAAGTGGAAAGAAATGATGACCTAATTTTTTAATAAAAAGATTTTTTTCAACTAATTCCCTGTATAATTTTTCTCCAAAATTACACAAATAAAATTCAATTCCAAAACAGAAATGATAAACTTTTACAACTTTTCAGAGAGAAAAAAAATCAAACAATTCAAAACAAAAAATAAACATATAACACTAAAAGTAAGTAAATAGCAGGCCTGAACAAAAACAAAAACAAAGTTCAAATGTATAACAGAATTGAAAATAAACAAATCGAAAAACAAAATTGATTGATCAGTTGTTTATACAATTTCCGGAAACTTGTTCTAAATTAAGATCTAAAAATAAACTCGGGAATTCCCTATGCAAGAATATGAGAAAGATGACAGAACAAATTCAATCTTTTACTGCACAAATACAGACACAAATACCAAACAGATAATACCATCATAAAAACAGACAAGTAAACAAAGTAAACACTGAATAACACAGTACCTGAGGTCACGTAGATTACTTTCGAGTTTCCTCGCGGATCAACGTGGGTTCATGCGGGTCACGTGGTTTGCCGCGCCTTGGGATCCTTGAATACTCCCGCCATTCGTGAAACACTGCATGCGAATAGGTCCTAGTTGACATACTTTTTCACTCTGTCGTTCCTTGGAAATATCGTAATATAAACGCACAGGCACACACACACACAAAAACACTCACAGAATCACTCTTCTTATAGGCCTCCATGCTTGGTGCTGACGTCATCAAAATACAGATCATCGCTCCTGCTCGTCACAGTCCTCGTCAAGTCCGTCTTCCGGGGATTTAAATACCAATGAAATGGAAAGGCTGGGTGTGATGTCCCGGTTTATTAGAATTACGTGGGCGCCCTTTGCAGGCAGTGGTAGAACATCAGAAAAATGACTATATCTCGTTCAGGTTCAATAAATTTATTATCGTCCCCCCCCCCCCCTGCAATTAAACACACCATATAGACGACACATAGAAAAACATTAGTCAGATAATTAAAACATAATAAACTTTACTTTAGAATATATTTCATAAATTTATCTTACCAGGCCACACACAAGAATCACAAATGCTTCTATCTGTATTTATACATCTAACTCGTTCAACGGCTACGCTAAGAGTGCCCGATGTTAGTTTGTGAAAGCGGAAATTCAGTGAATGGGATAAAGTCATGTGACTGTCCGTCCAGTGTCTAAAAATAACTATCTCAAAGTCTTTCATACATCATTCTCATACATACGCAGCGCAAGTATAGAGTAGCATTAAATGACAATACATAACCCTTGTTACATAGATAAAAAATATTCAATCCTGCTTAAAATTTACTGTTCTTTGAGAAAAAATTATTTTCACATCTCTATTTTTATTCCATATAGGACGTAGAAACAAAAAACAGAACCATCTATAACCCTCCGCTAAATGCCCTTAACGAAATCTCTTAAATAATTAAATGAAACCTAATTTTTCGAAAAGGAGAGCTTTGAAAACTTTTCTAATATAATTCTATCTTGCAGAACGATTGTTTTGCAAAATATAAAGATATAAATCGTGTGTATAACGGTATTTTTAAAAACACAGGGACCTAAATACCAACCCTTCCTTTTGCAATCTTTTATTATATATTTTGCTCTATCGCTTCTCGGTTCTTTAAGGTGCTTTATTATTAAGAAACAAGATGTGTTTGTGAAACACTATGCGCCCGGTGGCAACAAAGTTCCAAAATACTATTTTTAGCATATAGGTCACAGTCAAGGTCACGAGGTCAATGGCCTTGGTGTCAATTGAAAAAGCTTAATTAGTATTGCA